CTAATCAGTTAGAGAGTACTAATCAGTTAGAGAGTGCTAATCAGTTAGAGAGTACTAATCAGTTAGCATGGTGCTAGTTAACGAGAAACGCTATGACTTTTTTATTTTTAGGGGTCATAAATACAAATATCGTTCTGATTTTACAGATATTTTATTTTAAAAAAAGGGGAAAAATTTTGCTAGCTCTTCCACGTCAGCTAGCTAAGCTAAGCTAACTAAGCTAGTAGCTGTTTGCTCTCGAAACATTGAAACTCCAGAAACTGAGAGCAGTTTCAAACTTTCCGCCCCGTCTGACACCCGCTGCCCCGACCTCGCTGTCTCTTTCTCAAAGGGTGCTGGGAAATTAGCAAGAGGATGCTTTAACTTTGGTCACAAGTTTGGCAAAAAAAAAAGGAAAAATAAAAGATGAAGGCCAACACCAGATCACTGCACATTAACTGAGGAGGTGTAAAGGTAAAGAAGAGGAATAAATATAAACAGGGGTCTTAGAAAAGAGTTTTATAATGATGGTTAAACTCAAGGGAAAACACAAATATGGAGTAAAATGAAAAATGAGCAAAAATCAAAAAGTCACTGCATTCAGCAAAGAAAGGAAAAACCGAAATGTTTGTCACCTCATGGTTTTATCTTTAACTCTCATTATCATAAAACAACTTTAGTTAATCAATTATTTAAATGCTATGGAGATGGAAATAAAACTATTTTGTATTATTTATCTTAATAATGATCATATTTAATAATTAATAGTTCTAAATCAGATTAACTTAGTGATTTGCTCCAAGTTTTCTTATTTAAAATGTTTAAAAATTATTTCTCATCTTCTTAAACTGAACTGTAAGCTTCAACAAACTCTTAAAGTTGAATATTTTAGGATGTGAAGGCTCTTATTTAGATAAAAATAACAATATAAATATTTTTGTTTGTTTCTTCAGTGAATGCAGTGTGCTCAAATTAACAAAAAAATTTTTTTTAAGTTTAAATCGTCCACAAAGCTGAAAAACCCTGACAGATCTGTGGGACGGACTTTGGTCATCATGAGTAAACTGAAGGGGGCGCTGCACTTTAGGCAAAACAAATCAGCTACGTCTAAAAATTGAAACAAAACGGATGTTTTTATGTTTTAAAATGACACGAGTCGTAATTAACTATTTAATATGGATAATAAATACACTGATCACTCAAACATTAGGAAAAAACTGTTAGTTTGTGATTTTACCAGCCAATTTATGTTTATATATGAAGTCTGAAGTGTGCCAAAGCTGTAGTTCAAAGTTTATTTATTTAAAGTTTATTACGTAAAACAAACAATTTATGATCATTTTTAGGACAAACCTATTTAACCTTAAAGCCTGTATTTCAAGGTGTTGTGACATTGGCTGTTAACAAGCATGAAGCTGTTGTTAACGAGCATGGAGCTGTTGTTGTTGTTGTTAACGAGTGTGGAGCTGTTGTTGTTGTTGTTAATGAGTGTGGAGCTGTTGTAGTGTTGTTAACGAGCATGGAGCTGTTGTAGTTGTTGTTAACGAGTGTGGAGCTGTTGTTGTTGTTAACGAGCATGGAGCTGTTGTAGTTGTTGTTAACGAGTGTGGAGCTGTTGTTGTTGTTGTTAACGAGTGTGGAGCTGTTGTTGTTAACGAGTGTGGAGCTGTTGTTGTTGATGTTAACGAGTGTGGAGCTGTTG